TCATGAAAAGAATCAAAAGTACAAAGGGAAAATTGATTTTCGAGAGGTTAATATAATTGATCTTGAGTTTATGCAGGTTTAAGCTTTCTAGGCCAGATGGAAGCAATTATTGGGTTAGTAATGAAGAACAAATTGGTCGAATTGTGAGATACTGATGAAATAATATTGCTTTGTTACGCAAATTATTTATGGAAATAATTTGATTAATAGTTAAATATCTAAACATAATAATGTTATAAGATAAATTATGATCACCAGTTCCTTAAAATAGAAAAAATTCTTAAAATGACTGTCTTTATTATAATACTAATAATAATAATATATTATGTTTTTATTTTGGTTTGAAAAATAAATTGTAACTCCCCGATTCCCAGGTATTGATTTCTTTTGATATAAGATCTTTTTGATTTCCAGGTCTACTCGACAAGTTGGTTGCTCGACTCGTCGAGTAGCAATGGGTTTGTCCACGTGTTTAAGTGATCTACTCGTCGAGTCCAAGGAGGGACTCGACGAGTAGGAACTGGAGGATGAAACCCTAATTTCCGGGGTTTTGCACCCTATTTAAAGGATGATTGGCCTCCCAAGTCTCCCCTCTACAACCTCTTGTCATTCCAAACCCTAAATTCATGTGTGTGTGCTTTCTTAGTGTGTTAAGCTTTGAAGAAGGATTTTGGTAAGAAGCTTGGGAAAACAAGTGATTAGAAGCAAGGAGTTCGTGGGGAAATCAGAGATCTACTTCCTTGGGCACCCTTTTTGAATGTATTAAGTTGTTACCTTGGCTCATCTCTTTTGGATGGTTTTTAGAAAGCTTTTCTCTTGTTTGAGCTAAGATCTGAAGTTGCAATCTCATATCTGAACTCTTTTTGGTATCTAAGTCCATAAAGTTGCCAACTTTGGCAAGTATGAACCTTCCCTCAAGTTCAAGACTTCTTTGCAAGCTTAGTTTTGTCATTTTAAGGCTTTAGAGCTTTGCATGCATATAAAGTTTGTAACTTTATGTGATAAGCATACCTTGGGAAGCTGGATATCAATATGGAGCCTATGTATGGCTTAAAAAGCCACTACTAGAAAAATAGCCTTTTACGACGCGCAATCAATGACACGCGCTAATAGAGGACACCCATTTGTACGTGCCCTAAAATTTGATGTCAGTTTTCCAAAATATGAAGCATAGAGAACGCGCATTTTTTGCGTGCCCTAAAATTAGTGTCTAATAAAAAAACACGGAGGGCACCTTAAATAAAATGTGCGTCGTCTCACCATGTCGCTTTATAAATTTTAATGAAACGCGCGTTTCATCTGAGGGGGAAATGAAATCCAAAAATTAAAAAGCCCGCTTGGTTTCCACTAGCTGAAAACCCTAGCTCATCCCCGCTGAAAACCCCCTTTCTTTCTTTCTTTCTTTCTTCTCTCTCGATTCTCAAACCTCCATTCACCTTCCGCCATCTGCTGCTTATTCGACCCTTCCTAGTGTCTCCCACCACCGTCGACTTCCGATGAAAGACGACCGTTCTCGGTGCTCTGCCTCTACAACGATCGACAATATCACCTGATCACCTCGCCTCACCTTGTCGGCTACATCACCTTGCCAACAACCTCACCTTGTCGGCAACCTCAGGTCTAGTGATCTCATGCTCGCTTCTCCTTGTAGGAGACCTAAGCCCCGTTACATTGATCCATCCTCCCAAACTTTGGAAGAACTAGCACTTTTCTCCGAACTACACAAAACCTTCTTAAAAATCAGACCAGCAAATCCAACAAATCAATTGCAAGTACCGCGCTTCATAGATGTGTCTACTTCTCAGCTTCTAGGGCTCGAATCCATATTTCCCCATGTCAACACTCCATCATCTGTTTACTTAGCTTACTAAAATCATCAATCTCGTAGATTTCAGTTACAAACACCCTTCAATATGACGTCTTCAATCGATTTGGTAAAGGGTAGGATTTTAAATGGATCGAATGAGTTCAATCATTGATGGAGGTTATTCATGTCGTCCACAGGTAAGCAATCCCTTGATCTGACCTAATTGTTTTAAGATTCATATTTTTTTTCAATTGTGATCGTATTTGAAATGGTCAAATAGCCTTCAATATAATTGTATTTGGAGGTCGATCACATTCAATTACAATTGTGATTCATATCCGATTTTTTTTTATAGTTAAGTAGTAATGGGTCAAATATGGGGACTTATTCAGAGTTAAATTGGCAGAAATCACAATGACACATAGTTTAACCTTTGTGATTTTTGGATTCTTATCGTGCTAAAAAGGGAGATATACGAATTAGGGCTAGTTACATATGTACGATATAATTATGACAATCCAGTAAAAACATTTGTTTGATTTTGCACATATTTAAGTAAAATGTTTGACTGTTAGTCATAAAGATCATACACCCTGCAACATCTGGCGTTTAAATTTCTTGTTTATTGATTTGGTTGTCAATAATTTAAATTTGTTCTCACATGTTTTCACAAAGGTGCTATAAAAGATGAATCTGAAGATAATGGAAACCTTTCTGATGGGGGTGTTGAATCGAACCAGGTAATTTCAAAGTTCTTCTTTTGTATCATGGAACCCTAGCTTTATGGCCACACTTAATGAGCCTAAATGTGTGTGTGTGTGTGTGTGTATATATATATATATATATATATATATGTCTAAGTAGTATCCACATTTATTATACCAGATTGAAGGCAATTCATCTGGAAAGTGTGTATGCAACTGGTATTACTTTTGATCGAATGTGCCATGTTTCGTATTAACTGAAAAAAATGATTATCATATCATCATTTCTATGTATTAATTATTGATTGCTTCTAGGTGGGATTCCCAAGGGCATTTCAAGCCGAACTTTGATAAGGGAAATGAACCTTTTGTTGTCACAATGCAACCTCCAAACGTGACTGGTTCATTGCACATGAGACATGTTATGTTTGTAACTCTTGAGGTTTGGTAAATGTTTACTAACAACATAGATTCACATAAAAACTTTGTAAAATTCATCATTTTTTCTTTATTCAATGTGTAAATAAACAAACCATTCATATTTTCAATTGTGTTCCATGATATTATGATCAGATACAACAGGATGAAGGGTAGACCTACACTGTAGCTCTCTAGAACTGATCATGCTGGCAATGCAACTAAGGTTTGAGTTTTTCCACAAATGGATTTCTGATTATTGTATTAGTCTACTTAGTTAATATATTATATATCTAACAGATATTGTTTTCAGTTGGTTGTTGAAAGAATGTTGGCATCTGAATGAATTAAGAGGGTTGAATCAGGTAGAGAAGACTTCAGATAAGGCGACTTGGTGCTTCTTGTGATTGGACCAAAGAACATTTCACACTTGATGAACATCTAAGTCTTAAGATGATATTCTATCACATTTTAAACTTAATAATCTCAGAAACTATGTTTAAATAGTTAATTATAAACGTTCATAAAAATTCATGATGTAGGAGCTTGAGTCAGTGGAAGGATAAGATCAGGTGATAGAGATGTATATGAATGAGGAAGTTAGTGAACTTAAGAAAGAAATAGAAGAACTAGAGCATTTATTGCAGGATGAAGAGAAATGTAGAGTTGCAATCGCGAAGCTGAACCCCAACAATAACAGGAGCCACGAAAGAATATTGGAAATTAGTAATAGGGTTATGAACACTAGTAGGAGGGCAGGCATTTTGTGCTTGGTAAGAGTTCTGTCCACTTTATGGATCCATTTCTTGACCATGAGTTTGATTGGGGTGAACCATTGAGGGTTGATAAGTACGGGAAGTACCGGTAATAGAATGAGCACAAAGGACGTGAAGGTCAAATTCACAATCAGAAAATGAATAGGATAACCCATTTCCGGCGAGTTTACAGGTATCACAGTAAAAGGAGATGGACCGATTGTGTTAGTTTTAGCTCCAACTTGTGAACTTGCTGTTCAAATACAACAAGAAGCAACTAAATTTGGCACAACTTCAAAGATTAAGAATACTTGCATTTATGGTGGGGTTCCAAAGGTTCCTCAAGTTCGTGATTTACAGAAAGGTAGGTGGTGATAAGCTCAAAGATGAATTTACTACTATGGATCGGGTATATCCTTATGCTTCTTCAGCGTATTCAACATTTTCCAGCATTATATCTATCTATCTATCTTTGTTGTGCCTAAAGCACATGTTTCATCATCATTTTTTTTAAATCTTTTCTTTCAGGTGTTCATATTATCATTGCTACACCTGGAAGATTGATTGATATGTTGGAGTCTCATCATACAAACCTGAGGAGGGTGACTTACCTTGTGTTGGATGAGGCATATAGGATGCTTGACATGGGTTTTGAACCTCAAATGAAAAAAATTGTTTCACAGGTTTGTGAATTGTGATTAGTAGTTTTTAACCTGCCTTTTATAATAAGAGAAAACTAAAATATTTCAATTTTTCTTATCTCATGGGTTTTTGTATATACACAGATGCGACCAGATTTTCAAACCTTTTATTGGAGTGCTACATGGCCAAAGGAAGTCGAACAACTTGCAAGACAGTTTCTTTACAACCCATACAAAGTGACTACTTTTTTTCTATTTTCACCATGTGTTCATATTTAATCCTTTTTTTGGACATTTGAAATTTGGACAGGTGGTTATTAGTTCACAAGACTTAAAAGCTAACCATTCGATTCAGCAACATGTTGATATTGTTACTCAGAATCAAAAGTACAACAAGTAAGCAGGCCATTTTTATAGATGATTTTTTATTTTCAACTTTTTAGAAGCTTTAAAATAATAAAATTTGATAATTTTTTTTTTCAGATTGGTGAAACTGTTGGATGACATCATGGATGGGAGTAGAATTCTAATTTTTATGGACACGAAGAAAGGGTGTGACCAAATCACCCGCCAGCTCAGAATGGACGGGTGGCCCGCATTATCAATCCATGGAGATAAAAGTCAAGCAGAAAGAGATTAGGATTTATCCGAATTCAAAGCTAGTAAAAGTCCAATAATGACAGCTACAGATGTGAAGGACGTGAAATATGTGATAAATTATGATTTCCCGGGTTCCTTGGAAGATTATGTTCATAGGATTGGGAGAACAGGAAGAGTCGGGGCTAAAGGGACAGCATACACTTTCTTTACAGCAACAAATGCTCGGTTTGCTAAGGAACTTATTGCCATACTTCAGGAGGCCGGTCAGAAAGTCAACCCTGATTTAGCGGCAATAGGGCGAGGTGCACCTCCTCCACCCTCAGGTTCGTTTGGCTGGGTTTGATTTTTCCAAAAAAAATGACAGATTTGCCCTTTGGTTTTGTTATTGAAGCTTTGATGTTTGATTTATATAGGTCATGGGGTTTTCGTGACGGATGAGAAGGGTGTGACAGATGTATTGTAGGATAAGTTGGATAAGGAACTAAAGTTTACAGGTATCAAAGTCCTTGGATGCTTTTTTTTTTTAAGATTTTTAATTTTTTTAAGAATTTTGAATTTGTTTCCTTCCTTTGAACTTTCTTCTGCAGCTTATTCCATGTGGCGGTGGACAATACTGAGACAACTTGTAATGTTGATGATAGCCAAAGCTGAACCCCAACACAGTGAGGAACACTTCCTTTTTCAATAATTGAATTGTTATAAAATATAAATATAAATTATATTTATGTACAGGATGTATATCGAATAGGTACTTTGATGGAAGTTGTTCGTGTTCTTGCTCTATCATTTTCAAATGATGGAAAATGTGTTAAGGTATGCTTATCATGGTTCTGATGGAATTGAAATTGGAGATTCCATTCCATGGCATGTTTGATTGGCAAATGGATGGAATTAAATTATATCAGATTCCTTCAAATTCCATGTTTGATGGGATTCACCATTCAATTCTATTCTTCCTTTTTTGTTAAATTCCATTCCATTTCCTGCCAATTAAAGGCATGACAAATTATGATTCTTCCAATTCCAACTACTAAACTATAAATGTCAAATTCAGTTATTGTATATACAACAAAAAAAATATTCGAATATAAATAAAAGTTTAAAATTTATTTAGGTTTTTGTTCAAGGATCCAGGGGAGAAGGAGCACTTGCAGGAATGCCATTACAGCTAGCTTGCAGGAACAAGAAAGATTTTGGAGTACATGGACTAGGGTAATGATGGAGCCATGGGGACCTTTATAAACATTGGTGTTATAGGTACTCTTTTGCAAAATTAATAATGTTGGATTTCTTTATTGTATTGCATTTTAGATCCCAAATTGGTATGGCATTTTGGATCCCCTTCAAAGGTGTCTCAAGGTAACATAACATATCTATTTATTGTTGGAGTCTTTATATATTAAGTACATGCAATCAGAATATCGACACCTTTATATGTAGTGTGTATTTAAATAGTGATTTTAATGATCTTGTAGGACCTAGATGCATTCACTGCAGCTATTGTTGTGAGTATTGCCTTCTCTTTCATTCCTGCTTCGTTAGTTATTGCTATTATGAAGGTAGGCCACTCTCCGGTTGTATTTTTCACATAATGGACAAGGAGTTGTTGTATCTATTCAGACTAAGCTTAGAGCAATGGTTGCAAGAGATGAGTTCAAAAGAAGAAGAAACAAGGCTACAACTATAGTTCAGGTACTATGGATGAATTATGTTTGTAAAGTATTTAAGAAAATGATTAGAAACAAGGGTAAATTTGTACAGATTAGTTAGCAAAGGGGCAATGGATTGTATTTTTTGTATCTAATTCATTTGTAAATTTTTGTTACAACTTCTATTGATTTGTTTTATCTTTCCATGGAACGATTATTTGTATGACATTAAATTTATGCAATGGATTCTATTTTTTGTATATGATATTTTATTTTCTATTATGAAACATTAAATACAAATTTAATTTGAAAATAAGTAAATCTATAAAGAATATTTTTTTAAACATTTAAAATTATGATACGCAAAAATGTGTGTCATCTTCATTGATGACATGGCCTTTCTTGACAGGGGTTTTCTTGATACGCATTGCGTGTCATTAACACGCGCGTCGTAAGGTTACGATACGCGAATGCGTGTCATCTTCATTTATGACAGGACCTTCCTTGATACGCATTGCGTGTCGTAAACGCGCGTCGTCTCTCTTTATGATAGGGCCTTCCTTGACGCGCATTTGCGCGTCGTCTGAGCCGTTTACGACGCGCAATGAGCGTCGTAAAAGGCTGTTTTTCTAGTAGTGAGCATATGTTTGGATGAAGGATTAAAGGGACTCGGCGAGTGGCATGGTCGACCTGGTGAGTCCATTGAAGATTGTCCTGAACTCGGCGAGTCGGATGAGTGACTCGGCGAGTCGAATGGGGTTTTCCCAACTTTTGGACGTATATGAACTTGGCGAGTTGCAAGGGAAACTCGACGAGTCCGCCAAGGAGTTTATGACCGCAAACCTTAGAAACTCGACGAGTCACTCTAGTGACTCGGCGAGTTGGTGAGTTTTGCATGAAACGCGGTGAGTAGCTGAGGGTACTCGACGAGTTGAGGTCAACATGGACTGTTGACCTTGATAGTTTACTTTGAATTTGATTAAGGGTTGATCGGTGGTCTCCTAGGGACGTTTTAGGAGGTTGGAAATTTACAAGTACGGTTTATAATAAATATAGGTGGTGGAGTTCGTGGAAGTGATCCGAGAGCTTGAGCTTATCTTACAAGTCGACAGTTGAGAGGTGAGTTATCCTTAATTTATCAATAGGGTCTAAGGCACCAAGGCCGACCCTTTATGATTTTATCCAGATTATGGCATGATATGTTATTGGTTTACATGTTGGTAGTTAGGATGATGATATGCTTATATTAGTGACCTAGTTAGGTCAGTGTCCTGATTATAGAATGATGCTATGTTAGTGACCGGTTAGGTCTATATCCTAGTCTTTAGGATGCTGCTATGGTTAGTGATCTGTTGGATCGATTTGACTGTTATATAATATGAGCTAGCGTATGGTATTTATGTGCACATGTTTGTTTGATTAGGGTGGTCCAGTCATGCCAAAGGCTCAGAGCGGTCCAGATAGGCTGCAGGCCCTGCGAGGCGGTCCAGTTAGGCTGAAGGCTCATTATGCATGTTGTTCTGTATTTTTTATATGTTATGGTTATATTAGTATGGCGTTGGTATTTTGGGGTAGCTCACTAAGCTTTCGGGCTTATAGTTTCAGTTTGTTGTTTCAGGTACTTCTGGTGATCGAGGGAAGGTGAAGGCCTGATTGTACCGCTCATCCTACTGCTATGTTTTATGATTGGAAACTAGGATACTCTGATGATTATTATTTTGAAAACAAATTATGTAATGATTAAATGGTTCTTAAGTGTGTTGAAAAAGTTTTAATTTTGCATGATTTTATGGGTGTTACATAAAGAAAATAAATAGTAGTAGTCGAGTGTTGACTATTAAATGTCAGTTATCAGTTGGACTATCTCATAAAAGGACTATCTTTATATCACAAGAGTAAAAATAAGATAATTCATACATTAGAACTGAGAGAATCTTAAATTACATAGCTACCCGTAGCTTTAAGTGGTTTATTATATGATTATGATAATGTTGACCTGTTACTTTGTTTTAGAGGAATATATGATGCCTATTTGTTTGTTGAAAGATTTGATGTAGATAAATTTTACAGTTGCTTAAGTTAAAGTATTGTAAAGTTTGTTGCTATTTCCTGTTTTTTAATCAAAGACTATGAAATTTCCTCCAACCCCCAAAACTCCAACACCCGCAACGCGAGATTCTTCCCTAATTTGTTAATAAAAACGACCCATTATTATTAAATAAATATATTATATACTAAAAATATCTTTATCACATACACACACATCTTCTATATGACTTTTCATATTTTTTTCCTGTAGGATTTTGTTTTATCGGTGTAAGCGAGCCAAACCGAGCCGAGCCCAAGACTGACCAAGCTCGACCTCGGCTCGTGAACAATTTAGTAGGCTTGCATGCTTAAACAAGCCTCTCTCTCTCTCTCTCTATATATATATATATATATATATATATATATATAATATATATATATATATATATATATATATATATATATAACCCAAAAAAACATTTTTCTTTTCAAATCTAGCATTTCTTTTTAAATTTAGCAAAAGATAAAAAGATGAACGAAACTAAGGATGTAAGTGAACCGAGCTATTCGGGATCGAATGATTAAAAGCTCGACTCGAGATCGAATATATAACTAAAAATGAAATTAATTTGTGTTCCTATTAAAAGGAAATTAATTTGGCAGAGAAATGTGGCTAGGTTATTCGAACCCATGACTTTGACTATTAGGTTGGACGGTATAGGTGATAGAAAGAATGAGAGAAGTTTTCCTTCTCAAGTGAACATCATCTATTGACTGAGGGAAAGGTGATGAGGGAAAGAGGTGAGGGAGCTCATTCCCTCACTCTCTCTCCTATTCATATTGGCTAATTTTTTTTAATATTTATTAAATTATATACCTACTAAAAATTATAAAAAATATACATATCAAAACTTATGGTTTTTAATTCCCTACAAAATGAGTATAATATTTATAGGAAATAAATTTTTTAAGAAAAATAAAAAAAAATAATGAGGAAAGTTTCCAACTCATTCCTTGGGTTTAGGTGAAGGAAAGGAAAGTGAAGGGAATGATCATGTGGCCCACAAAAAGTGAGGGAAGTTTCCCATCCACACCCTCCGATCTTATAAAGCATCAACATTGCCACTGAGCTACAAGATATTTTGTTATTTTGATGCTGAACTATTGTATATAATAACGGAAAATGATTGAAATAATAGAAGAAGTAGGAAGTAGGAAGTAGGAAGAATCGAACTCGCGTATGCTTTAAACAAAAATAATGTTTGTAAAAACGTTTTATAAATATTTATATACCTTTTTATAAGAATGTTTTATATACGTATTTATATACCATATGAATAAGAACATTTTATATGTATTTATATAGTTTATGTATAAATAAGTTTGTATACAGATACGCATAAAATATATAACGTATTTATATATCTTTTTTACACATTATGAAACATGTTTAGATATTTTTAAAGGTATAAATACGATTTTAAAGATATACGTATGTTTGTTTATATGTATACATGTGTTTTATTAACAACGTTAATAAAACACGTTTATACATATAAACAAACATACGTATATCTTTAAAATCATATTTATAATTTTAAAAATATCTAAACATGTTTCATAATGTGTAAAAAAGGTATATAAATACGTTATATATTTTATGGGTATCTGTATACAAACTTTTTTATACATAAGATATAAAAATACATATAAAATGTTCTTATCCATAAGTTATATAAATAATACAAAAGGTATATAAATATTTTTAGAACGTTTTTTATAGCATACTGGTGAAAGCATTATTTTTGTTTGAAGGATACCCGAGTTCAATTCTTCCTGCGTCCTACTTCTTCTATTATTTCAATCATTTTCAATTATTATATACAATACTTCTTCTATTATTTCAATCATTTTCACCTAAAACCCAAGCTCGAGCTCAGTCTCGGGCACGGCTCGGTTCGGTTCGCTTACACCCGTAAAACAAAATCCTACAGGAAAAATATGAAGACTCATATAGAAGACTTGTGTTTGTGATAAAGATATTGTTAATATATAATATATCATATAATAATAATGGGTCGTTTTTATTAACAAAGTAAGGAAGAATCTCGCGTTGCGGGTGTTGAAGTTTTGGACGTTGGAGGTTATTTCATAATCTTTGATTAAAATACAGGAAATAACAATCCTACCGTTATTTGAGAAGCCAGCTACATCCACCTCAGCTGCCACTTCGTCCAAATCATCTCCTATTTCGTCCCAGGCAGGTAGGTGACCGGCTATAGAAGGTGAAATTCCGATAAGAGACAAATGTTAACAATTATTTGAGGCATTAATGTACAAAAATTCTGATTTTGGGCATAATCGGTTTTTTTGTGTAAAATTATGGGCTTTTATATCTATAACCTTTGTTTTGTTAAAAAGTTCTTGCTGTTTTCTTTTTTTATTTTGTATAATTTTATGAGGTTGCTTATTTCAGTTGGTGAATATGGATCCAATATTATTGTTTATTTTTATAATTTCAAAGATTATATCTATGCACATAAATCTCAAAATCTAGCATGACTGTTGTGCATCAAAATAATATTTATATTCGTTTAAATTAAAGCCTAAGGGTCAAAAACCAATTTTAATGGTCAATAGGTGTATCAATATAAGCAAAGTGTATCACCTATATCAAAAGGGATTTAAACATGACTTCAAGAAAAAATGAGAACAGTTGATATTTTTGAACTATAAATTTTTTTGTTCATAAATGCATGTCTTCTAAGTCAAATAAGGGGCCATTTATTGTTATTTAAGAAAGGTGTTCACGTCTTCATCAACAAACCCAACGTCGCAAGCCATGACATATCATAGAGTGATCTCACATCATGTGTAACATCATATAAGGCAATAATTCATTTATTGAACGTAAAAATCGTGACTAACAATTTAGTGACAGGAAAGAGTGAAAATGTTAGCTTGGTGGCTAATAAATAAAAAATATATAGTATATGAACTTTTATCCGTA